GCCTTAGCCGGTTGAGCTATAGGCGCCGAGCCCTAAGTGCTATATGTTCATCTCCTCTTCTTCCACCTCAGGAATCCTTAACTTCTGTGCCAACAACTACCTGGGCCTGAGCAGCCACCCTGAGGTGATTCAGGCAGGTCTGCAGGCTCTGGAAGAGTTTGGAGCTGGCCTTAGCTCTGTACGCTTCATCTGTGGGACCCAGGTACACAAGGGTGTCGGGGGGAGGGGGAGCTGACCCCATCTGCCTGCTTCCCACAGTCAGCAGGGCTGGTTTAGCCAGCTCAGCTTATCCTAGGCCTCTGGATCCACTGGTAGCACCAGAGGTGTCCAACAGAAAGGCTGAGTGAAGACATCTGTTTTGCTGAGAAGCCTTGGGCAAGAAACTACTTTTTTGAGCATCCATTTCCCCACCTCCAGAACAGGGTTCCTCACACCTGTCCCCACAGGAAGAGTAGAGGGCAAGGACTGAGTTGCCCTGCAGAGAGCCTTGCAGCTTTTGAGTGAGCTGGGTTTTCAGCACTGTTGTGTTGCTGTGATCGAGTTCTTAACCTCTTTCTATCGCAATTCCTTTCCTTCCTTGGTAAAATGGGGATGATGGTACTTCATAGGATTGTTATAAATTAAAAAGTTAATACATGTGAAAAGGCTTAGAACATTGCCTGGTGCATAGTAGCGCTCAATAAATACTATTTTGTAAATGTTCTAAAATAAACTTATCTGAAGATGAAACTTACATAGTGTTTACTGTGTGCCAGGTACTCTTTTTAAGAACATTATAAATATTAACTCATTAATCCTTATAAAAATCTTTTGAGTGATAGGTGTTATTCTTTTCCCTATTGTAGAGATAAGGCCACTGAGGCCCAGAGAAGGTAAGTGACTTGTCCAGAGGCACACAGGTTGTCATGGTGAGATCTGAACACAGTAGCTTGGCTCAAGACTCCATGCTTCTGAATACTTGTGTTCATATTACCTGTCCTCTCAGAAAAGTGAGGATAGAGGCAGAACTCTTGACTCCCATCCAAGAATGTTACTGCTTTCAGTAGTAACCCAGACCAGACAGCTTTCAGTCTAAGAATTAGAAACCCAAATGACCCCAGAGTTATTTATGTAGTCCTTTCTTCCTTTTTCTCTTAATATTTTTTAAATTTCCTTTTTTTATTATTTTGCTTGCATAACTTTTCTCTTCACTATTAGGCAACCAAAAAAGCATTCAGCTTGATATTAGAAAGATACATCTTCCTTCCCCATCAGCACCTATAATTCCATTAGATGTCCATTACAAAATGAAGATCTGCCCCAGGGGGGAAGTCTAGCTGGTCCCTATGGCCTCAGTAGGAGCTATCTTCAGATTCCTGTTGGCTGTGGGATAACCCTTCTGGTACACAAATGCAGGAGAGGGCAGCGCCTGTGGTTCAGTGAGTAGGGCGCTGGTCCCATCTACCAAGGGTGGCGGGTTCAAACCTGGCCCCGGCCAAACTGTAACAAAAAATAGCTGGGTGTTGTGGCAGGCACCTGTAGTCCCAGCTATTTGGGAGGCTGAGGCAAGAGAATCGCCTAAGCCCAGGAGTTGGAGGTTGCTGTGAGCTGTGTGATGCCACGGCACTCTACTGAGGGCAATAAAGTGAGACTTGGTCTCTAAAAAAAAAAAAAGAAAAACACTGTCTCTACCAAAAAAAAAAAAAGAAGGAAGAAATGCAGGAGAGGCTTAGGCTGCAGGCCTGGATTGGGTCTATTTGTGGTCCCACAAACATTAAAACCTGGAGAGGCTACCTCCTCACTCACAAGCACTCTCACTTTGTTCAGAGCATCCACAAGAATCTAGAAGCAAAAATAGCCCGCTTCCACCAGCGGGATGATGCCATCCTGTACCCCAGCTGTTTCGATGCCAACACTGGCCTCTTTGAGGTACCTGGAGGCTGTGGGTGGGAGTTGGTGGGGCCTACCAGGCTGTTGAGGGTTTGAAGGTGGGCAGTCAGGAGAACTTTGCATGATGCCAGTGCCTAGGGCCCATTTCTTATGGAGGGCAAGGTTGGGTACTCTAGGAGGAGGAATCCTAGGGCTTGCAAGAAGCCTAACTTCCAAGGCCGAACATGGTGGCTCATGCCTGTAATCCTAGCACTTTGGGAGGCTGAGGCAGATGGATTGCCTGAGCTCTGGAGATCAAGACCAGCCTGAGAAAGAGAGAGAGACCCTATCTCTAAAACTAGCTGCATTGTGGTTGGTGCCTATGGTCCCAGCTACTTGGGAAACTGAGGCAAGAG